GATTTGATGTCTTCGGTTAGTTTCATCTCTTCAAAACACTTTCTTCTGATTAAATCATTCAATGACTTGTAGATCATACAGTAACATCATTTTCTTCAAGAAGGTTCTTGATTTTCATTTCTTCAGCTACATGTTAGTCATTTAACGTCGTGTTATTTAACTTTATGGTTTTGTTAATTTCTTTTTTCTTCCTGATGTTGATTTTGTTTTGTGGCTCTTCATTTAAGGGGATGTATGGTAGCTGTGTAATGGAATCTGTCATATCTAGTTAAATGTTATTTAACCTCATGGCATTGTAATTTCTATTTTTGTTCCTGTTGTTGATTTTGTATCATGACTTTTCATTTGAGGGGGTGTACAGTAGCTGTGAAATGGAGACGAACATCCAGATGTGAGCATACAATGCAGTATGCATTTCTACTTCCAGACTTATAATGAAACTGTTTACTATATCTTGACAATAGGATTCTGGACTCTCTGCCATTGTCCATGCCCACAATGATGGGCATATGACTGTGTATGGAGAACTGTATTTTAGTAATGATATAGAGGAACTAGGTGGGGGGGAAGGGAATTGGGGCTGGGATAAGGAAATACCAGGAGCCTATGGAACTGTACCATAAAATGATAATAATAATAATATGTTAAAAATAAATAAAGAAAGAAAAGAAAAGAAAAAAGAGACTACCCAGAGATATGTTTCAAATTATTTTATTTGGATTAATTTTTTAATGTAAAGTATATACTGGTTGCTAGATAATTTGCTCATTATTATTTCCATGTTTGAGTTCTGAGCAATATTTTCCATTATATCTTTTCACAGGATAATGACAAAGCTCATAAGTGAATATTTAATTTAGAAATGTTAACATTAATGTTCAATAAACAAATTTCCCCAAGGAAAAAAAAAATCTTACAAACTAATGGAAGTGATGGGAGTATGAGCTGAAACTGCTATGGCAGAAAATATAGTTACTATGACCCTAAAGGCTAGCCTGTCCTTGCAACTCTTTAGAGAGAAGAAAATGTAGCTGTTTTAGCCACTTTTATAATTTTTTAACTAGAAGAATTATAGGGTGATTTTATTAATCTCAAAGACATATGCTCTTGATTATTGTTTGCTTGTTTTGAGGGTTATAGAGCCTGTAATTATAGGGGAATTTAATATTCGAAAATTTGTCTTGGATTTTTATATTTTTTCCCTTGTAACATATTTCTCCCATTAAATGATGGGCAAGTTGTAGAAATAGACATGTGGTAGGAATGTATTACTGATTAGCAGGTAATCACATGTGCCTTGGCTTTGTTGTCCTGGCTTCGCTCCATGGCTACTACTGAAGTATCAACAGTGGCTTGCTTTGAAGAATATGAATACAGCATTTTGCAGAATTAAATTTAACGGCACCTGCTTAGCCCTAAAGTACAGACAGAATGACCAAATGTCCGTACGTGCCCCCTTAGTCTTGAAGTGAAACTAGAACAATTAGTTGTTTGTGAAGAAGCTTGTGATGTGTCTGAGTACATAAAAACGCGCAGCTTCTTGAGCTGTTATGAGAGGGCACCGAGTGACAGTGCCCATGTCTTTATCGCCAACTCCACACCCTTCCCAAGCTCCGAACTCGGCTGGAACAGGTCTCCGGCACCAAGAGTTTTCTTTCAACTTTATGCATTAGATCAGACGCTTTTCTGCTAAATTTCATGGCTTAAAGATCACACAGCCGCCCAGATTTTGGTCATGTGACTGTTGTAACTGCACTTCTCTAAGCACCAATGAGCTGGCTTTTGCTCTCCCCACTTGTACCCCTATAACCTGAGTTTCTGAATTCCTGTTCCTCTGTAGGACCTGATGCCTATTCCACCCCCCCCCATCCGAGAACGTTTTGGCCATTGCATTAAACATCTCTTTTTTATTCTAAATTGTATACATTTTTTGATGGACAAGTTACAATTATACACTTGTGGGGGCACAATTGTGATTTTTGATATATGTATGTACATATGTCATATATTTACACACACAATATGTCCAGATTTGTTTTGTGAACTAGCATGTGGTCTGTCCTGAAGAAAGTGTATTGTGTTGCTTACTAAAAACGTTAGGTCTATGTGATAAAGCGTAACTCAAGTTCTAAGTTTATTGGCTTTCTGTTCCAGATGGTCCGTCTATTACAATATTGCAGTGTGTTTTTGTTGTTGTTGTTGTTGTTAGATCCCTTCATAGTCACTTTATGTAAATAGATTTTCTGACATGGAGTATCTACATATGCATCACTGTAGTAACTTCTTGGTGAATTAGCCACTCTGTCATTATGTAATGAAATTCTTTGTATATTTTTATAGTTTCTGAATTAAAATCCAGTTATCAATTGACTATGCTGGCTGGACTCTGTGCATGTCTTGATTTGTCAGGCTTGATGTCATCTTCCCTGACTGAGTGCTAGGATTGTTGGGAACGTCTAGATGGGCAGGGCTCTGTGATCTCTAAGGCTGGGTGACGTCACCGGGGCTGCTTGGCCACATCGTGTTGAGAGAAGCAGAGGCTGTGTGTTGCAGAGACATGTGGACTTGGCCTGGTATATACCAGTCTATGATAAGCTTAAGCAAAGGACCAAGGTGTATTGGAATTACAGCTCTGTCTGTGCAACTGGGGAGGACCAGATTTCTGTCTGCACATGATCACCGATCCGCAGTCACCTCCTAGCTTGAGGAAGACTGCACAGGAGCACTGGGGCTCATTTGAGTCATTCTCCTGGGGAATCACTGTCCTGCAGTTACGTCTTGACATTAAGAACTGAAAGGTCATTGGGTGGCCTTTCCTCAGCTGAGGTTGGACAAAAGCAGGTATTTCCACCATGAGTAATTGCTAACCTACAATGTCTCAACCTCACAACCTCCGGATGAGCACCTGTGGTAAAGTGGGGAACCTAGCATGGGATCCTTTTCTGGAACAATCATGGAACCTACTTCTTCTTGCATGACACTGCTGGCTAGTTTATGTGATGTAGTGCTTCCTTAGGCTCAGCTGGAATACAGAGCAGCAGCCAAGATGAGTGGGAACCCTAACGCTGGGCTAATTGATACCAGTGTTTGAAATGAAGGCATATAGTGAAAAAAAAAATACATATTTTAATAATAAGTGTAATCTTCTTGAAGTGAGAAGGGAGGCAGTTAGAGGAGATAAGGTTTGACAGCTTGGGGCAATTTATATAACTCTTGCAAGCCACTGACTGACAACCCAATTAGACAGCACAGCAGCATGGGCGGCCATTGCAGGAAAGCTCCAGGCAGCCCCATGTAACCACCCAGTGAGAGACCAGCCCACCCTGGATGATAATTGCCTCTCTGTTCACCACCCAACCTTCTTTCTCTTTCTCTATTTTTCCACAGATCCACGTTTCTGTGAACCATCGTCAGACACCCCTACTCCTTCTATGTAGTGAAAACTTCAAGTTTCACAATATTGTGAACTTCGAATCAATACCGACGGAAAATATCCAATAGTGCTGCAGGATGTGCTCCCATGATGGCCTTCACGCAAGTATGATTACCATGGGAATAAAATTCTAGCTCTCCTACTCATATCATGCACCTGATGCCAGGACACTTTAATACTTCCAAACCGGACATGGAAACACATGGTTCTCAATCGCTGCCCAAACTGCCCCCACTTTGACCACTCTATTAAGTTGCCATTCAGACACCACCATCCCTGTTGCCTGATGGTGTCAAGAGATGGCCCTGACCATGTGGAGGACTATTTAGTTAGTTTGTTTGCTTTTTGTTATTGAGTTTTACTTCTTTGTGTTTTGGCTTTTTGTTCATTCTTCTCTCTCTCTCTCCCTCTTTTCCCTTCCCAATCTCCCTCTGTCTCCCTTTCATTATTTATTTTTATTGGAAAAACAGATTTACAAAGAGATGGAGAGACAGAGAAAAAGATCTTAGATCTGCTGGTCCACACTTCATATGGCTGCAATGGCCGGAGCTGAGTGGACCCAAAGCCAGGAGCCAGGAACTTCTTCCAGGTCTCCATATGTGTAAGGCACAAGGCCTCGGTCATCCTCTGCTGCTTTCCCAGGCAACGATCGGGGAGCTGGATGGAAGCAAAGCAACTGGTACACAGACCTGTGCCCACAGGGGATCCTGGCACTTGGAGTTGGAAGGTTAGTCAGTTGAGCCAATGAGCTGTGCCCCCAACCTCCCTCTCTTGAGCTTTCCTGTACACCTCTTTTAATGAGTCCTTCTTTCCTCTGCACTATAATAATTCAGCTGATTTGATTTCCTTCATGCATGGAGGGAAGAATCTGGAGTAATTCCAACCAGAGGCCCCACTGCTCACAGCACTCTGATAATTATGATGCTGAGAGGAAATGTCTATCTTTAAAACAATTTTTATTAATTCCAAAGACCAAAGATTTAATAATAAAATGTAACATTATTTACCTTTAAAATAAAATTTTAGCTTTATTTGGGTGCCTAACAACTTATGAGGGTAGTCCCTTTGATCGGTTTTGACTAAGTATTTAATTTTTAAGAACTTATTTTTTTTAAGAGTTTTCATTTATCTAGATCTTCTATTTGATACTCATGGTTGCTGTCATTGTTATTTTGCTACTACCTCCTGGAAAGTTCATTCCCTTACTGAGGAAATGTCGACATTGACTAGTTCTCTGGACTAGGCTGTTTTGGAAGACAAACAGAAATCATGGCCTGGAGCATGCTGCAAATAGCAACATCCGAAACTAAAAGCTGAATTCCTCCCTTGACCTTCAAGTAGTGTGTGGAGGTTGCCTGAGGGTGTAATTTTCTAATTGTTCCGCTTCACCTGATCTTTGATTGTACTTGAAGCATGTACTTGAAACATTGTTTCAGAAGAAAAGGAATCATGTCAAAATGTTATAGAATCCGATGGAAGAACAAAAACTTGCCATTCTGAGTATGAAGTGTTAGTGGAACCTAAAGCTATGATTAATATCCTCTTAGACAATGGCTCACACATGAGCTTTTTTTTTTTTTTTTTAAGATTTATTTATTTTTTTCGGAGAGTTGCAGAAGAGAGGGAGAGACAAACATAGTGAGTGACCTTGTGGTTCACGCCTCAGATGACCACAGCAAAGGGACTGAGCCAGGACAAGGGCAGGAGTTTACAGCTTATGCCAGGTTTCCCACGTGACTGGCAGGGGCCCAAGCATCCCACATTCTGCTGCAAATACAAGGTGCTGAATCTACATTGAAGCAGCTGGACCACAAACCAATGCCCAGATAAGAGGCTGGCTTTACAGGTAGCAATTCTACTTATTGTATCCCAATGCCAGTCCCAATATATATGGACTTAGATTAAAATCTAGCAATAATGATTTTACTGATTAATATTCTGAATGGGAAAATAGGAGGCAAGAATAGCTTAATGCCAAAACAGCATAGCTTTGGCTGGTATTCATGTGTAACATTCAGAAATCCTATAGAAAATGATGCATAATGATTAGAGCACTAGGAAAATAGCAATTAATAATATACACACAGTAAGGAGCTTGAGCCAGTGTGGAAACAATGAAGGCTTCTGAAGATGTCCCACAGCTCGTGTCTTCATGGGTTTCAGTGACCGGTCCCACTGTGTCAGGATGGCGTTTCTGGCCCCTGGCCATTTCCCGGGACCCACCAGCCTAAACTGGTAAGGGCTACAAGGACCAAAGAAAACTTCCAGAGCCAACTTGGGATCTGTGAGGAACAGCCATGGAATGCTGGGCTTCACCCCGATGAAGGAAGCCAGTTCGTCCATGTAAGTTATGTAATCTGTCTGAATCGTCTCACTTTGGCCAAACCTAGAGATGAGAGAGGAAGCACCACTGTGAATGTCCAAGATCTGTGTCAATATGAGAACGGGGAACATGTCACATCTTTTCTATCTGTAGCCATCATTGATCTCTTGTGTTAGCAACGGGATTGCCATTGGCCTGTCCCGTTCTGCCAGCTTGAAAAGACATTGCATACCTAATTACATATGGGTAAACTTACTCTTGCTTAAATGAAATTTTCATTTTGTGCCCACAGTCTAAGTTGTAACAGAGCCAGAAGTGGATCCCATTCTAATGACTTAGTTGCGGATCACTTAAGACGGTCACGTTCATTATTTATTTATTTATATTGGAAAGGCAGATGTACAGACAGAAGGAGATGCAGAGAGAAAGCGCTTCCATCTGCTGGCTCATTTCCCAAGTGGCTGCAATATCCAGAGCTAAGCCAATCTGAAGCCAGGTGCCAGGAGCTTATTTTGGGTCTCCCACACGGATGCAGGGTTCCACGGCTTTGGTCCTTTGTTGACTACTTTCCCAGGTCACAAACAGCGAGCAGGGAGGAAAGTGGAACAGCCAGGACACGAACCAGCACCCACATGAGATCCAGGTGCATGCAAGATGAGAATTTAGCTAGTAGGCTATAACACTGGCCCAAGACTGTCAGAATCTTAAGCATTCACAAAATCTGGCTTTTGTCTAGATATTCTGGACTCCCAATACCATAAATAAATTTACCATTTCAGCTTTGTCCCCATTTTCTCTTCTATGTCACTCATCATGTCTTTCACAGAAGGTAAAGTACAAGTTCCTGAAAAACAGGGAAAGATACGATAATAATTACGTGAGTCTGTCTTAGGGCTAACCTACAATTTTTTCCTTTGTAATAATTAATTGTGAACTACATTGGTATTTCCAGTTTTTTTAAAATCACTTTCCACCAAGACAAATTTTACTAGGAGAAATTGAGTCAATCATTTTGGAACAAGCATCCTGAGTATGCTCAGAATTAATACTTGTAATATTAATTCAAGACAATTGTCTGAACAGTTCCATAAACCAGTTCACATTCACTATGCTGTAAGAACTTTCAGTCATCTTTGTACAAAATTGAGCAGCAAACAAAATATAAATGAAATATTTCTTTTTAAAAAAAAAGATTTATTTTATTTTTATTGGAAAGGTGGATATACAGAGAGGAGGGATAGAGAGGAAGATCTTCCGTCAGATGATTCACTCCCCAAGTGAGCGCAATGGCAGATGCTTTGCCGGGCCGAAGCCAGGATCCAGGAACTTCTTCCAGGTCTCCCACGCGGGTGCAGGGTCCCAAAGTTTTGGGCCGTCCTCGATAACTTTCCCGGGCCATAGGCAGGGAGCTGGATTGGAAGCAGGGCCGCCGGGATTAGAACCAGTGCCCATCTAGGATCCTGGGCATGCAAGGCGAGGACCTTAACCACTTGCGCCACCGCGCCAGGCCCAATATTTCTTTTCTTAAGATTTAAGAGGAAAAACTTCATAGGAAATAGACATGGAATTTTCAGAAGGTGAGCTGAGTTATTCAATTTTTGAAGGCCCAAGTATCTCTGTAGAGGGCAAACCATTCTTGAATGTTACTGAGAACACAGACTATCCACCAATCACTAGAGGGGGGTCCCAGGAAACTAGATCTGATTTGGGGATATCCCAGGATATCAGGGTCACATTGGTTTATTGAGTTCTTGAAACACAGAACAATATATATATATATATAATATATATATATATATATATATATATATATATATATAGTTTTATGCCCCAAGTTACTTGAAGTTTATGATGATTTATTTGAGAAATGAGATTTCTTATTGAAGTCATTTTGAATGAGATTAGAACTCCCAGGCATCATGACTGTCCCTGGCCTGCAGTGACTGTCTATTCCTCATTCTTGCAATCCTAACAGATACAGTCATGGGATGCCTTTTGTTGATATGGCTCAATCTTAAACCATCTAGTCTGTCTTGTCTTTGAGTAGAGGAAATTGTTCTGTTGCTCAGCTGCTACCTCCATTTAGTTTTTTGTAAATTGTTTCTCTGAGCCTTTGCATTGCACATCAGTTTCTGTTAACTACCTTGTTTGTTTCTTTCCAATTCCAAGCTGAAACTTTCTTCCTCACTGAGAACAGAGGTCACACCTTGGCCTTTGGGCAGGTCTCTCTAGGCCTGCACTCCAAGTGAAAGTCTGAGTGGAACATTGTGCCATGATCTTCCTGGCTGCTGCTGCCTTACTGGACTTCAATGCCCTGTAACATGCCACTGTCTGGGTGGCAAGAGTTAGAGGAAGAGCAGGGAGTTTACTGACTTGCAAGACAGCAATGATGTGGATGGCATACTGCTGGAGCCAGGCAGCCAGGACACATGTGACAACTTCTGTATTAGTATGTAAGAGAAGAGTCATTAAATCCCAGTAGGTTAGGTTATGAAGCGAGCCAGAGATGGCTTCAAATGGAAATAAGCCTGCCAAGATTCCCACATCCAGGAGTTTTCTAACTCTAGGCTCAACTAGAGCTTGCGCACTCAAATTTGGCATCTCTGATTGCTACTTAATAATGCAGTTGTCACCTGTACCTGTTTACAAGTGCATTCAAACCTTACCGTGACTCTAATTCCAAAGCCTTTCGCTGGAGAACACAGCCCAACTTCCTTGTCTACTCCAAGCAAGTTAATAAAGCTTATTGTTTCTTTCCCTTTTAAAAAAACTATTTAGAACTCAACGTTTGTACTTCTTTGAGACTGGCCCTCTACCACTCCTACCTGTTTTCTCTAATAAAATTCTCCTTGTTTTTAATTAATAATCATCAATGACATTTCTATGAAAATATTTTCTGACTGCGTATATCTAAAGTTAACTTTAGAGTTTTAAGACCATGATTTTATAGCTTTTATGCATCATGATCTCTGCTTTAAGTCACATGAATGACTTTGGGTAACTACCTGCTTTAAGGAATTGCCAGTCATGAAAATGTCCTCCAAAGTATCTTATTCTATAGCACGTTGGTAATGCATTTCAGTATATTGTAATTTGTTTATAAAATGTAGCCCCTGAAGATATACGATTATGGATTATACTGATAATATACTGGATGAGAAATTATATTTAGCATAGTAGTTTTCACGAAGCTCCAAAGGCTTTCTCACGGACCCATCTCCACCCCATCCACTTACCCTTTACGACCTTGGCTGCCCAGCGGGCCTGCAAGTCAGTTGTGGGGATGGCAGCCCCTAACGACTGGACAAGGCCAATTACTGCCAGGGTTGACTTCTCCAGGAGAGGGGGGAAGATGCCTTTAAACAAGGTGACCTTGTTATTTGCACTTTTGATGATGGAGTCATCAAGGAAGGGGTAGGCATAACCATAGCCTGTTGCAAAGATGACAGAATCAATGGCTTCAAACACAGTGCCATCCTCAAAGATGGCTGAGGTCTCTGTGAACTCCTTCACATTGGGCTTGATGGACACAGTCCCACACAGAATGCGAGCTGGGAGCTCATCATTGAACACAGGCTCCTTCCTCAGAGTTCTGTATGAAGAAATAGGGACATCCTTAGAATGACAACATTTCCCATTGTTTCCTTGGTTCTCACACAAAGTGGCTGGGAAAGAAGGATCTACCCAATCGGAACCCAACCAATAGAGCTCATGCACTGAACTGATACGAAGGGAACAATGTGCCCTTTTCTGTTTTCTCTGATGGGTCTATCTTCAATGTCAAGTCCTCCATTAAAACTTCTCTTGGGAAAAATTATGTAGGTAGTGTATTCTGAGTATTTGAGTTTTTTTCTTGGCTACCTGTTACTTCTGAGATTTGATTAGGATTAGATTAAGATGTGTTACATTTTTGTGTATCATAGTTTCTCATCTGAAATAACATTTTTACCTTTTTTAGAAAATCATTGAATGACACAAATATTACAAAGAATTCACGTACATGATACCATAGATACAAATTTCTAGTCTTAATAACAGGATATGCCAAACTAGTCACTGCTATATAAAGAATATCAAATGAGAGGAATAATATCTGTGGGGACATTTCAGGGAAGCTACCACAGAGGAATGAAATACAAAGTTGCATGTAGACCAAGATACAAGTCAGGTGAAGGAGGAAAGACACAGAAATTTGAAGGGGAGGGGCTGGTGTCACTGGTAGAAATCTAAGAAGGAAGAGGTCTGACTGTCATTTAGTGCATGCAAGTAAGCATGCCCCATGACATACAAACCCCAACATCATCTGGATACTTTTATTTTAATGCTTTCACCTCTTGGTGCTCTCCCCTTGTATTCCTCCCCCCAGAAAAAAAGACTCATATGCTTGTTTGTTCATTATGCCAGAGGTGATGCTCTCAGTCTTCGTTGGAATACGCTTCCTGAGACAGTCTCGTGTCTCATTTCCACATATGTCTCAGAACTGTGGTTAAAAGTTTCTGACATGCAGCTCGGCATTTTGTGTCATAGCCGGAAAAGCCATCCCTGTAATAGTGGCATTCCACCTGGACACTGGTTAGTGTCCACTTCAGACCCAGTTTCCTACCAATAGCCTGGGAGGGCAGCAGAGAAAGGTCCAAGTGTTTGATTCCCTGCAGTTTACGTAAAAGACTCAGATGAACATCCTGATTCTGACTATGCCGCAGCACTGGCCAATGTGACCATGTGGGTGAAACCTGGATGAAACTTTGCCTTTGTAACTCTTTCACATAAATAAATCAAAATAAAATTAGAGTTCCCTTTTATATGAAGTCTACTCTGAGGACTTTATTAAAATCATCCTGATGACACTTGCTGTCATAGTGCCTGTTGTGTTTTTTTCTCTCTAGATCTTTCTAGAACCCATTTCCTACTACATAGACTACAGATTATAATCCAAAACCAGGTTTTGTCTGTATCTTCAAATCTGCTGTATCCTCGAATCTTAATCAGAACCTGGGACATAACAAAACTTTAACAAATATTTAATCATGTGCTATGTTTTTAGTCTGAATGTTTCAGTCTCTGTCAACATTGTTATTATTACTAGGTGACTGAGTTGGAGACTGAAGATGCACACGTTGTGACAAAGGTTCATCTCCGTTAAGAGTTGAATGAGGAGAGCACACAGCGGGGAACGTTTTTCTGCCTTGCAAACTTGGCTTTCAAGACATTAGAGCAAGCAGCCAAGGGTTATATAATCAGCAAATCTGAGCTAACGTTAAATGTCACTTCTACTTCCTGGTGGTGGGACTTTGGCAAAGTTACCAACCGCGTCAAACTTTGCTTTTTCATACAAGCGAGGATAATGGAACATACTTCGTAGATGTTGTGAGAATAAAATAACGCAACAAAGCCTTAACAGAGTCTTGCCCAAATGCTGGCAAGTATTAAGTGTTTAAACCAGGTTAATTATTATCATTGTTACTCTAAGAACAAATTCTCAAGATATTATGTAACATTTCAGCTGTGCAAATGCAGCAAAGAGGATTGCAAAACAGGAAATTGTTTCTGGTTATGTTCAGCTCTTTATCTTCTGATTTGTGAGATGTGACTGTTCTACTAACATATTGATTTGTTCTGTGGTTACACTGAAGTCAAAGTCAGCAGGCATACCACTTCAATTCTGCCTTACCTATTTAAAGGCATCAGGCCGTAATTCTCGTGCTTGAATCTTGCATTCATTTGCCTCGTGTACCACCAGTCGGAGATGGCTGTGGGTAAGCTGTTCTTCAGGAAGTTTTGAAATCGTGTGATAAACACCATGTCCCAGGGATAGCCATCATCCCAGACACGACTCATGACCCACGAGCCACTTCTGGAACTGATAGTGACCTTCAAAACACCAATCCAACCATTAAAAGAGTGAACACCAGGGATAGCCATCATCCCAGACACGACTCATGACCCACGAGCCACTTCTGGAGCTGATGATGATCTTCAAAACACCAATCCAACCATTGAAAGAGTGATCATTTTTAGTTGCTGTTGCGATTTGTTCTCTTGGACATATGTATGACCCTGGCTCCCGGGTCGGGCAACAGAAGGCATCCCTCCGTGGCGAGCCCCCATTAGGGAGCTGCTTTGGCTGAAGGCAGAGGCCGGCAAATAACAGCTATGACAACTGGAGAAGAGATTCCTGTCTGGGTTTCTGAAGAGTTACCCCCTAAAGAATCTTTTAGAGCTAATAGGTAACATTTGTCCATACTCCTTAACCTGCCCTAATACACAACGGGCCCTGTGTCATCGCTCCTCCTTTACCCTACAACTTCTCTTTGTATCTTTATTTTCTAAACTCAGTGAGATTTATCTTAGTTGCTGTTGAGGCACCAAGTTTTTTCATGCTTTGAGATTTCTGCCTCGAGAGCCCTTCGGATGCTGCGTCTCATCTCTTTTAGTTCTTCGGCTTCAAGGTCCCCAACTCAAAAGAAGGTCATCCGTGTAAGCCATTGTTATACTTTTTCTAGCACTTTGCACAACTATAAATTAGACATTTAGCTACTAATTTAATATCTTTTTTTCAACACTAGATTCTGAGTTCTATAATGGAAGCCTGTCTTTTTTTGTTCATGACTCTCTAGCATCGAAGGCAGGGCCTGGTGCATTGGACACTCTCAACAATAACTGTAGCATGGTTATGTGTGGCGGTGACTGTGTACGTAGTTCTATATCTACACTGATTCAATTATGTACAAATGTTCCCACTCTGCAGCAAACTTCCCAAATAGATGTTGTTATTTTACTACTGGGAAGCCGGAAACCAGAAGTACCCAAGGGCTTGCCCAAGAGTTGCAGAGTCATAACTTTAATGGTCAACCCACATGTTAGGCATCAAATAGCCTTAAGCAGACAACTGCTAAAGTTCTGTCTTTCCTATTAAGCTATGTAAAATTCAGTATGGGAGGCAAGGGTTATAGAGAGGTTTCAAAACAAACACCAAAAAAGAAATGTGCTTGCAAGTTCTAATGTTACACAACACAAAAAGTATTTTATATACTGCTTAAAGAACTTAAGTAGAAGAACTGGCAGGCTCAAAGCATAAAGAAAAAATAATGCTAGTTTCTTGATTTGATTTGCTTATTCTGTATACATGTGCTGAACTATTGCATTTTATCCCATACAATGTACTTGTAGTATACATTAATCAAAAATTAAAATTTAAAACCTCACTTGTACCATAAGAAAGCTGAACTATATAATATACCATTTTAACACTGAGAGTTGTTTGCACATTTTGTTAAGCTTCCACTTGGGGTGGCTGCATCCCATTTGGAAGCTCTGGTTTGAATCCTGGCTCTTCTGCTTCCGATACAGCTGCCTGCCAACATTCCCGGGAATGCATGCGGTGATGAGCCAAGTACTTGGACTCCTGACTCCTGTGTGGAAGACCCGAATGGAGTGTCTGACTCTTGGCTTCTATTCATCCAGGTTAGAGTGGGCCTTTAGGAAGAGAACTAGTGGATGTAAGATCCCTTCTTTCCTGTCACTGTCTTTCCTCCCTCCCCTTGTCATTCTGTCACATAAATAAACAAATCTTTAAAAATACAGAAGGGAAGTGAATGAACCCATCAAAAGGGAAGAGGAATTTTCTCCTCCCGCCATATAATCTCATATCATATATTTTAAATATTAAAAGTCCCTTCAGAGAGCCCCTGCCTTATCTGAGATGTCATACCTTTTCAGCTGTGTGGCTAAGTTCCGTGGCAATATCACAGCCAGAATTCCCTAAGCCAATCACCAGAACACGCTTCCCCTTGAACATTCCTGGTTCCTTATAGTCTCTGCTATGGAAGCATTTGCCTTTAAAATTCTTTAGTCCTAAGTGAAAAAGATAATTAGTTTGATTTAAATTAGAAAAGAAAACTTCGCTTTAATTGAAATGATCTGATGTTGAGGTAGTTAACAATGAATTCTCACACTGTAAATTTATTATATATTATATAAGTATATTTTAATTTAGCATGTTCCTACTTTTATTGTTAAAAACGTGGTCACTAAGACATTGAACTTGGCAGAGGTGTAGAAAGCAGCCTAAATTCCAGTCTTACCTGGAAAGGAGTCTTTGGGTAGATTGGGATACACATGGTGTCCAGAACAAATCATTACCGCATCAAAAACAGCTGACTCCTTTCTGCCATCCTTTTCGGTGGTAATACACCATTGGCCAGTCTTAGAGAAATCAGGCTGTTTGTTTATGCTGGATACAAGTGTCTACAAGAAATGGAGAAAGGAAGTTGCCTTTTCCATGTTAACGCGTAGATTTGTGAAAACTAACTTTGAAGGTATTAGCTTGGGAAACATACTGAATTCATTATTTCAGTTCATCTTAAGAATTTGAAATTCCCTAGAATATAGCAGTACACCAGATGGCAGGTGTGTTTTGTTCCTGGGTGGATTCTTGTTTTGCCCAGTATTTTCTGCAGTCCCCAAGTGAGGCCCCTGTGTCATGACACTGATTTCAAATGTGGTTTACATGTAGTGCGTATCATGTACAACAACAGTCTGTTGACTCGTAGCTTTTATAATTACTCCATTAGCTATTTGAACTTGTAATAGTTTTGCTATCTTTAAAAAATACATTGTGGATTTACAATGAAAGGCATGGTGTTTCCTCAAACCTTAGCGTGTTTAAGAATCCTCTAGAAAGCTTCCTACAGTACAGATACCTGGACAATGTTTCTAAATATTCTGTTATGCCTCAAGGTCTGCTCTGGCATTAGTTGTTCCCTAACGTTTATGAAGGGGCTGGCTCTATGGTGTGCTGGATTAAGGTCCTGCTTTCTTTGCTGACCTTCCATATTGCTAATAGTTAACTTAGAACCTTGCCACCCATGCAGCGACAAGGTCGGAATTCCTGGTTCTCAGCTTTGGCCTGTTCTACATCTGGCTGGAATGGCCAGGAGCCAGGAGCTTCTTCCAGGTTTCCCACACGGGTGCAGGGTCCCGAAGCTTTGGGCCATCCTCAACTGCTTTCCCAGGCCACAAGCAGGGAGCTGGATGGAAGCAGGGGTGCTGGAACATGAATTGGCACCCTAATGGGATTCTGGCCTGTACAAGGTGAGCATTTTAGCTGATAGGCTACCATGTGGTCCTGTCCCATATTTCTTAAATTTTTAAAGACTGTTACAAAGAAGCAATAACATGAAGGATATCTTGTTTGAGATTTAAAGAGAGTGATTCTGACTTCTTTCTGCTTAGCACAGCGTTACAGAGTTGCTATCTAATATGAACAACACATAAAGTTGAAATATTTCTAGTTGCCACACCAAAGAGTGAATAACAACAACAACGAAAGAGGGAGAAATTTGGCCCAATAATGAAGACATGGGGACCCCACCTGTCATAAACAAGTGCCTGGATTTGAGTCTTGCCTCTGTTCTATGTTTACATAGAAACTTTATATTGTTTCTTGCTAAAGTTGACCTTGGGAGCCCATGGGTGATGACACAGACACCTGGGTCCCTGGTACTCATGTAGAAACCTGGAATAGCTTCCTCCTTCCAAGTTAAGAGCTGACCCAGCCCTGAGTGGTTACCAACATCTGGGGAATGCAATGGCAGGTGGGAGCTCTCTCTGTCTCTGTCTTTGTCTTTCCAACAAGAAATTTTCAATTAAAAAAATCCACTTTAATTAGCACAATGCATCTATTAGTGTCTCAATGTGTAATCAAAAAGGAACTAAGGATGGAGATGTTTTACATTTTTTCAGAACAATACACTGAAACCAATGTGTATTGTATATGTCTAGCACTTTGCAATTTTGTAGCTAAGTGGCAATTAGCTTGCATTGTGTAGGTTCAAAATAATGTTCATGTACATTTTTGATAGGTCAAGAGAATCCCTTTCTAGACTTGGTTTGATGAGAGCTTTCTATTCTTATTTCCTTCAAGCATGAATGGATGCTGAATTTCAGTAAATGCCTTTTCCAAATTTGTGAAATTAGGCTGCAGTATGCTTGTGGCATCCCAACTGCTCCACTTCCGTTGCAGCGGCTGTTGTGGCCCCCAGAAAGGCAGCAGCCAGAATTACAAGTCACTGGGCCTGTGCCCAAAGACCACACGGGACACCCTGAGGCAGCTGCTGCCTCCTGGCTTCAGATCTGGGATTAGCTCAGTTCTGGCCTTTGCGACCATCTGGGGTGTGAGCTCGAGGGTGTGTGTGTGTGTGTGTGTGTGTGTGTGTGTGTCCTCTCCATAGCTCTGCCTTTCAAATAAAAATAAGCCGTTAAAAATGAGTTAATTCATCAAACACTGATTTGCTTCCTGAAAACAAGTTTATGTTGCACTCTATGTTTATATATTATTGTAATGAAATAAGCTTGCATTCTAAGGAATGCCTCACTTCAATAAAAGTAGTAAACATTTTGTAATATTCGACTAGATCAACTCTGGAAGGATTTTTTGTATTGTTGTTGTGAATACTAGATGTATTGCCACTTATGACATTTGTAAGTCTTCACTGATGGCTTAAAATAACAGGAATTAAACACCTGTATGTTTAGTGTTTTAATTCCGGAGAGGAACTGGTTTACAATTTCCCATTTCATGTAAGCCTATCCGCTTTGGATCAAGGTTCCGATATTATAGAGCCATTGTGCAAACCATACAAAAGAGGGCACAAATTATTCAAATTATTGAAGTGATTTCTTCACTGCAAATTTTTAAATGATCACTTATTAAACCACATGGTTATTTTTATGGGTGATTTTCAACCTCCCGGACAGAAGAATTATAAGTTAACAAAGAAATAGTCAAGTTTTTTTACTTCTTGAGTTTTGACTTGTTCTTTTTAAAGTATCCAAGTGGCATATGGCAATACCTTTACATCATTCTTTTAAAGAACTTAAAGAATTTATTTTATTTATGTGAAATGCAAAGTGAAAGAGAGAGGGAGAAACATTTTCTCTTTTACTTCCCAAATCGCTGCAGTGGCAGGGCCTTCGTTCGGCTGGAGCCAAGAGCTTGTACTCCCCGGCTGTTTCATGTAGGTGGTGGGCATCCCCTGACTCAGGCTCTCATGGAGTGCTTTTCCAGGCTCATTAGCAAGGAGCTGGATCAGAAGTGGAGCAGCTGGGATTCGATCTGTCATTCCGATATGGGATGCTAGCTTTCGGGTGGCAGCTTGACGCACTATGCCACAGTGCTAGTCCCTACATAAGTCCTTGTTTGAAGTTTTTAGTGTATCTTTTTGTCTAATTTTTGATTCCCTATATTTTAAATTTTTGCCTTAGTGCATTTCACCTGAAACTAATATCTTTTTGTTGTCCTTTTTAAATAAATGAACTACCACTTCTGTTAGCACACTTTGTTCTCTTTTTAGCTAATTTCTTTTCTAATTCTCTTCATTTTGTAATCTGTGGGTTTATGCTGATTTTTCTCACAAGGTTTTAAAGCTTCCAATTAATGGCTTTTCATCTTCTAATGCAAGCATTTAAGTTTATATTCTCACCAAAGCATGACTCTGCTTTTTGCAAATATTAATGTACAAAATGTAAATTATTCTTCAGGTTTAAATAAAAATGCACTGACATTGCTTCTTTTACTCATACATAATTTAAAAGAAAGAATTTTCAAACTGAAGACTCATAGATTTTTTTAACCTTAGTTATTGATACTAAACAAGTTGTTAAGTTTTGCAAAGTTCTCATTATATGCCTGAGGAGAGGGAAAATTCTCCAAATACAGGCTCAGGAAGGCAATACTGTTTAAATCGTCACCAAGTAAGAAAGAGACACTGAAAATACCAAATTAGCATAAAGGAAAACTAGATATGAGCTTGTTCATCATTGTGCCAAAAGTAAACTTGTCCATACTCTCTGACCTTAAACTGTATGTATTTCAGAAGGTTTTTTTCTCTGGCAAACGCAGTGATATATTCTTGGAGCTTGCTGTTGTGCATAAAGTTGGGGAAGTCATCGGGATACGGGAAATCTGGAAAGCACATCATCTCTTTGGAAGAGTTGGTGAAGACCGACTGGTAGATGCTGGCTCTGCCATCCTCGGCATGCTCCTGTGAATGGAGAGTTCCAGATGGAAGAGGGTTGTCAAGTGAGTATATTGCACTCGTTTGGGACCTGGTGCCAAGGAAATGAATTGGCTTTGACCCATAGGTGAGTTTTTGTAAGACAGCTAGGAGCCCCCACAAATTAACCTCTATGAGACAGTTGATGATAATCACGGAAGTGCATCAAGGGAACCCAGAAAATGGAAGGGAAGCAAATTTTGAATTTCATTATGCTGCTTTAGAAATATGTAATTAGAATTGTTTTTATTTTCTAAACATCTACATAGGGTGACAGATAATTCCCAAAATTCAAAGTTGTTTGATCTCAGCAAGTCAACTTATGAATATGATTGTGTGATGGCCGACTTACTTGATAGATGGTTACAATTGTTTATGATATATCTATTTGTTCACATTTATATGTTTAGCCTTTTAAAGTTGTTTGGAATTTCTACAAAGCATAAAACAACGTGTGAACTTTCAATATATTTTATAGAATTTATATGCATCGCATGTGTTTTGAGTATCTGCATAAGTCACCAAATGTTAACTTTCCGAAATAAAGGAATATTACTTCTGTGAACAATGCTGAAAAAGTCTTCGAGAAGATATTAGGTGAGGAACGAATGATGCTTTTGTTGAGTTTAGAAACATTGATAAATATGATAAGTACAAGGCAAACTCAGCACGTTAAATAACAGATTACCATGTGGGCGGAAACAAACAAAAAATTCAAAGAACGTTTTCAAAAAATGAAGAAGTTACTATCCAGAAAGGAAGACTTTGTCATTGAACATCCAGGCCAAAGTCCATGCTAGTTTACTCATTTGCCGTTTGCAGAATTCCTGAGGAGCACAGTGTTGGGGTGAGGAAAATTCACACAGACCTGTGGCCCGGTGATAAACCAAGTCGTTTTCTCTGTGACCAGAGAGTCAGGGAAACAAGCCTTTTGTTTTGTTTTGTTTTGTTTTGTTTGTTTTTTTTTTTTTGTTTTTTTTTTAACTTCAGATCAGGAATAGAGCAAAAGAATGAAATGGAGATAGGAAATGCATGGGAACCAGCACGAAAACTTAACCTGTATGCATGTTTTATATGGTCACACTTAACTAACCTTATTTAGATTTCTCAGAAGGAAAAAGAAGTTGATAGAAGATAAAATGCTAATATTAATGGGCAGAATAAGAAAATATAAAATTAGTATACTGTTGGAGCTAATTAGAGTTTATATCGTTTTTTCTGAAACATGATTACAGGTCTTGTTGTGAATCCTAGGTGTATTGCCACAGATGACACACGTCTCCATTAATGGCTTAAAATAACAAGAATTAATTTTCTCATCACCCTGAAGGGCAGTATTTGGAGACTGGTATTGATGGGCCCCCAAACAAGCTGTCAGGAGGTTGCATTTCTCTTCAGAAATTCTGGAAGAGGATCCATTTATTGACTTCCAGCTTATGGTGGATAGCAGAAATCCTTAGCTTTATCAACATGCCCACAACACCTGCATCTCTTGCTGTGTGACTCGCTTATCCATCTTCATAGCTATAGTAGAGCATCTTCAAATCTGTATCTCTTTTGGGGCTAACCAATCACCTTCTCTATTTCTTGTTTTACTATTCATTTGAGAAATAGAGAGATGGACAACTTTCATGCATGAGTCACTCCCCAAATGCCTTGACACATGTCCTTGAGTAGGGTTGAAACCAAGAACCAAGAATTCAATCCAGTTCTCCACAACGATGTCAGGGACCATCACCTTTGCCTCTCCGCATCTCAGGCAGGAAGCCGGAATTGGAAGTTTAGGACCCACACAGGATTCAGGCACTCTGATAACAGGGCACTGACCTCCTGAGTGCTGTTTTAACCACTGGACTAAATGCTGGCCCATCCTTTCATCACTGTGTCTGTTCAATCTTTCCCCTCTTCCTTCCTATATAGTTAAAAAATAGATCATTTCACTCCAGGCGATCTCTCCATATACAATTTAAAATTGAGTGTGGCTTTAAATATCCTTTTTCTTTAGAAGGTAACAATAATTTTTTTAAATTGGCTATAAATGGGGTAGAATTATTTAATTAGCATATAAAATGGTTGAATTATTCAATTACTTAGCCCATCTCAGTTCACCCACTTGCACCCCCAAAATTGTATCTGTCCCATATGCAACACATTCACCTGATTCCAATATCCCTGAATTTTCAGCCTAGAACTGCTTACACCAAGTCGTAACTGTCATTTTTATGTCATTAGTTCAAAAATCCCACATATCATCATTTAAATGATCAAAGACAGGTGAAACAAGCTCGTGAGTATGATCCACTATGAATCCAGGAAACTGGAAGACAAGTTATCTTCTTCTAAAATACAGTCGTTGGGGCAGATGTGAAACAGAGTGCGAAGCCACCATTAGTGCACTCACGTTCCATATTTGACTGCCTGATATGTGGATCAAGCCCCAATTTCACTTGTGATCTAGGTGCCTGCTCATGTACACCCTGCAGGCAGCGAATGATGGTTCAAGTACAGTCCTTTCTCTCCACGTGGGAGACCTGGATGAGATTCTTGGTGCATGGCCAGTCTTGGAGGTTTCAGGCTATTTGGAAAAATGAATGAGCTACTGAATGATTTCTCCACTTATCAAATAGAAATAAGTAAACCTAAAAAATAAAATAGGTTAGTGGAAAAAAAACAGAGTAACAGCTCAGTACATTCTCACTCTGGAAGAGAAAAAAAAACGGATGAAAGAAAGGAATTGTAACCAAAATGTAATCCAACATCACAACTTCTATTGGGTTTTAGGACCTGCAGATAATCTCATGCCTGCATGAGATCCTGCTGTCTGTGTTACACTTTCTTTTTCTTGAAAGTTGGTGCACCATTTTCATTTTCGGTTCAGTTTTGTTAGGCTGTGATGTCAGGTTCAGATTTAATGTCTTGCTTACGCAGCAAGAACGGCAACACTGTTTCTGGCCGCATTCCTCTGAATCAGCAAGTCAGCAGGTGCTCCGTGTTCAACAGTATTTTCCAGCAGGATTTTGAGCAAGAGGCTTTCATCAAAGTCCCTACGTAGAAGACTAACTGGGCTAATAGCCCCTGGTGAAGTGGCAGCCCAAAACTTACATACGGTGGCTGAGAATTCAGATTGGACAGAACGGCAAGCTTAAATTGGGATTGTTGTTGAAACAATGGAGCAGCTGTATAATTTTTTCTTTGCCTTCAGATGAATTTTTAAGAGGGAAACAATATATCCAGCCAATAAGAATGAGATAAAGATTGGATTTTGTTTGAAATACCGAAAATACTCCCTACAACAGCCCTGCACATCACCTGTGCTCAAGTGGAACCCTGTCAGTACTTCAGCAATGTAATAGGCTCCACAGCATTTTGCAAGGTTCTGGGTGTGTTCAAGAGTTCATGATAACCTACAAATCATCTGTATTACTAAGAATAAAGGGCCTGGCGGCGTGGCCTAGTGGCTAAGGTCCTCGCCTTGAACACACTGGGATCCCAGATGGGCGCCGGTTCTAATCCCAGCAGCTCCACTTCCCATCCAGCTCCCTGCTTGTTGCCTGGGAAAGCAGTCAAGGACAGCCCAAGGCTTTGGGACTCTGCAGCCATGTGGGAGACCTGGAAGAGGTTCCTGGATCCTGGCTTTGGATCGGCATAGCATGGGCCATTGTGCTCACTTGGGGGGGAGTGAATCATCGGACGGAAGATCTTCCTCTCTGTCTCTCCTTTCTGTGTATCTGACTTTCCAAAAAAATGAGTAAATCTTTTTTTAAAAAAATAAAGCCTCATGCTATTAGTAGAATTTGAAAAGCTATCATAAAAACTATTTCATTTACTCCTCAGATCCTTTTAACCCACAAATACAATAATACAGGCTTTCTCATTTGAGGTGAAGCTAGTGGCTTAGAAGACTTATTAAAAGGCTTAGTTGGTGAAGAGAAAAGAGACCAATAGGACAGGTTTGGCCAGACGATGCTCCTGGATGTGGAGACACTGGTGTGGTATTGTTGAGCAGGACAGGAAGTTCTTCATTGAACATGTGCATTCATGTTCGCCTAGAGAGTTGTGTGGCGACAAAGAATGTGAGCATCCTATGCTTGGTTCCTTATGCAGCTGCTCTGTCACGTGGCTTCACAAGAACAAAGCCAGCAACTTGAAAATCTGTGATTTGAATCGCCAGGACACATTTGATAACATTATCAAAACAGACGTAAGACATGTTCAGTGAGTAAATTGTATCACTGTTATATAAACCAAATCAGTATTTGGCCACAGGTTTACCTCAGCAATTGCTCTTATTAAGGAATGACTGATGAGAACTTCCAACTTCCGATGTCTAAGTTATTTCAGACTTGCAAGGAAGCTGCTGTCCAGTTTGCTCCAATATTGTGTGTTATGTCGTCAGTCCCAGCACAGCTTATAATCACCGTGGTGACGGGTTTGTAAGGCTGTGCTGAAGCCTGTCTACCCATCTCAGCCCACTTCACACTCCTGTTTCTTGCAGTGACACCACTCTTACCGAAAATTTCCACAGTCCCCCGATGTCATCACTCATCTCAAAGCAGGTGGGCTCCAGCCCCTCTTCCAGACAGCTCCTGATGGAAGCCAGGCCACTGACACCAGCTCCAACGATGGCCACCTTCTTCCCCATGGTCACCTGCACGCAGGCCCAGAGAACATTCCAGCAACAATACTACTGAAATTCAGCTATTTCTGGCTTAGTAAGACATTTTCTTCTCTTTTTCTAAGACAATGCTATTTAAAAAAAAATGTTGTAACGCCTTTGAGTCATCTGGTTACATTTTTCATTTCTCTCTAATTTCTAAGAGGAATATTTATTCCCCCCCAAAAAGAAACCACTTTGTTTTTCTTAAGTTCTCCAAAATTAGGAGGTGGATGATGCACGGACTAGGAGCACTCAGGCTCCCTTTGGCCTTCTGTCATTTCATCTCTACACGGAAAAGATAACGTGGTCACAACGAAAACACATTCAACCCTCCACCATTCACAAAAGGAGCATATAGGAAGAGACAAATAGACGTGTATATGTATAAACATGCATAAAAAACATCCGCTGTCTTCGCTATACTTGGAAACTTGATGAGAAGCAAGGTTGAAGAGGTCTACATTTAATATGCCAGAGGGTCATTGCCTTTCTCCTCCCAATACGTTTTAGTTTCTCAATCGAGAAGTTATTCCATACAAAAAGAGTACGTGTTCCCACTCATGTCTGTTCCCTCCAATATCCATTCTCATTTAAGAAAATTTGAATTTTAACCTTTTCCTGTCCCTGACCCTATCTTTAGGCTCTAATACCAATTTACCATTTTTTTTGGTTGTTTTCAGGCAAAAATTATATAACTGTTCAAATAGAATTGAACATATGAACTAGAATCCATGGTTCTCAAACACAAAACACGTTTAAAAAGACAAGAAAACAAAGCAAAACAAAAAAACCAAAGAAACAGAATAAATCAAAACCAAACCTGTCTGAATGTTAGCCCCACTGCTGACAAACTACAGCACGCGCTTTCATTTACTGAGCGCCCCCTTCTACTCCTTAGCCCTCACAATGTCATCCCCACCCCCAGCCCCGGCCCCAAAACCTTTCCTCTGCCTTCCTTGCTTCTGGATGGCGAGGTCCTATGCCAGTCCTCTGTGTAATTTGAAGGAGAAAAGTTTTCAGGGAAGTCTTACTGCAGGCAGCACTGGGAGGAGTTGTACTTAAAGAGCTAGTCATTTCTGGTCCTCTGGTAAGTGAACACAGCCTCCAATCCCTGCCGTGGGTGTGACAACGGACGAGGTGTCTCCCAGTCCCTGTTTTGCTTTAGTTGGCATCCAAGGTCACACATATGGACCCTTGGCTGGGCCTGAGGTCGCTTACAGATGGTGCCAATTTTGTATTTCATTATATTGTTTGTTATTTTTAACTTTACCTTGTGGGGAGATCATGGTAGCACTCCAAATATCGGAGACAATTATTTGCTTAATTGAGATAATCTGGCAGCAAAAAATGTCCTCTTCCTGCTCTCACTCAGCATGTACTCTTTTTGACCTTTGCGGTCAAAGAACTGTGTTGCTCAAATTTGTATTTTCTTATTTCTGAGGGCAGAAAAAAATCAAATTGCGGAAGCTGACGCATCAACAGTACGTAAAACTATTTTGGCAGTAAGACTAAATAAACTGCAAAAAATTCCAGGTCTTTCAAGTTCTAAATATTTTTTCCTTTATTGACGATATTCCCATATCACTTCAAATTATGACACCTTGGTCATGGTATCCATTTAGCAGCGTCATGAAGCAGTCAGTACTTCTCATAAAGTGGGAGAAGATGAATTCTTGTGGAATTGTTTTTATTTATGTGTTTTGGATGGTAATCTTTGTCTCTAAGTCAAAAGTATAATAAAATACTTTCTAAATACTGTCTAAAGTATAGTAGAGACCGCAGAGACTGAATCACTGTCAGTTTGATATCATTGGTTGAAGCAGTTAAACTTCACAGGTCTTAGTTTGTTTGTTAAGTGGGTATACTACATTGCTATTGCCTGTCTTGTTAGAGCATTAACACACACACACACACACACACACACACACACACACACACACAAACACACTTGTATACAGGTATATAAAACCTTGGCACACAACTAGCAATCAGTAAATGGTTACTGAATGGTTATTTTGTTTGTTTGTTTGCTTTCAGTTGTAGATTGATGTAATTCACTAGGACATTATTGTATCTTTCCTCATTTTATGCAAGAGCTCTTTTTAAGTTTTTGATACAGAAACAGCTGCAATGCAAAGAAAAAAGATGGCGTGAACATCTTACTCAGAAGGAAGGCATTCATCCTAGGATGCACAGGACACACCCAATCCCACCCTGGTTTCTGATGTCTAGGTCACACTTGTTATTTCTGCTCTTTATTGTGAATAGATTCAGGTGATGGTACACACACATATCAGTGCTGCCTGGCTTTTTGCGTGCTGCAGCTTTCTGCCACATTCCCCTTTAACCTACACAGTCTTCAATGCCCAGACCCAGGTTATAAACAAAGCCTCTTGTGGCTTCTCTGCTTGCTTGTCTTCTATTCCTAACTCATTTATATGGCTTCCACTTTCTTACCTTCAAGGAGAAAGCTAGAAAGAGCTCAGAGGGTGGCACCCCAAAGCTAAGGTCCTCAAGCATCCTAGCCAGCTTACTTCTTGATTCCTGCTTAGGTTACTTACTCATTACTTCTGAGTATTCTTCTAGATCCAATGGTTAGGAGGTTCCAGCAGTGGTTAGCATGCAGATGGATCAGTGAAGGAGCTGGCAGTGTAGATTTTCATTTCTCTTGTCTTGCATAGTACCAAGAACTCTGCAGACAAGTTGCTTGTACCAGAATGGAAAGACATGCTTATTTTGCAAATGTGGAGGGGGCTTTGGGACATCAGTTCCAAAGGTAATCGTTAGAATGGGAGCTGACAAACCTTTTCCACAAAGGACCTGAGAGTTTAGAGTTTAGGTTTTGCTAACCGTGCAGTTTATGGCAGCTCCTCAACTCTGTCATTTTGGGTAGAGATCACTAGACACAAATGTGAAAGAATGGGCACAGCTGTGTTCTAATAAAGCTGCTATAGAGACACTGACATGTTAGTTTCATATCATTTTCAATGATACGAAACAATGCTCTTTGTTTTGGCTTTTTCCCATCCATTTGAAAATGCATAGCCACTGTTGACTTGCAAGTCACACAAAAATAACTGGGGGGTGTGACGTGATAGCCTAGTAGCTAAATCCTCACCTTGCATGCTCTGAGATCCCATGGGGTGCCAATTTGTATCCTGGTGTCCTCACTTCCCATCCAGCTCCCTACCTGTGGCCTGGGAAAGCCATAGAGGATGGCGCAAAGCCTTGGGACCCTGCCCTCTCACGAGAGACCGAGAAGAAACACCTGTCTTAGCTCCTGCCGTTGTGGCCACTTGGGGAGTGAAGCAGTGGATGGGAGACCTTTTTCTCTTCTTCTCTCTGTGTATCTGCCTTTCCAATAAAAATAAATGAATCTTAAAAACAAACAAACAAACAAACAAACCTGGGGTTAAACTTTGCCAAGGCCTTACTCCTGGTTTGGAACGATCATATCATTTAAGTAAATCATTGATAAAAAAAAAATATCATGGGGCTACTGTGAGGCGATCTTACTAATAAGTTTCAAAGTAATAAGGTGAAGATGTGATTTTAAGGACTTTCACAGGTCATCCAAACTGCAATCTTACAAATTCTGTGTATGCCTATGATGGATCGCCCCCTAGTGGGTGTAAGTGTTCACCACATTCCTGCTTAAAACCATTGAGAGGTTAAGGTCTGCTTTACTCACAGCTCACATACTGACATCCTGAAGTACAGCAGGCCTCAACTGTGGCTGTGAACGACGTAAAGTGAGGTTACCCAACGGGGCTAAAAGCCTAACAGGAATGGGTGACTGGTTGCTGACTTTGTCCTAGTCCAGCCAGGGCTGTTGTAGGCATTTCTGGAGTGAACCAATAGAAATAAGATCTCTCAGATAGAAATTCAACAAAAGCAAATATAAATCAAACAAGTGTTTAGCCGACAACTGGAAGTTCAAGTCTCCTTGTTGCACACGTTCGCTTCAGCATCAGTTAACTCCCGGAGGGCAACATGAGCCGAACTCCCAAAGAAGCCATTGATTTCCACAACTGAATATTCCTTTTCAGACATGCATGGATTCAGAGGAGGCGTGTTTCAGATCTGAGTCGGGATGTGTTGTTGAAGAGAAAATAGCTGCTGCTGTTTCTATGTGTTAACAGAAAAAGGACAGATACCCAGATTGCCCTGAGGAAGACGTTAAGGTGTTTCCTACCTTGCACTTGATCAAAATGCACTTTGAATTGCAAGACGTCAGTACTATACAAGGATTCTGCTTAAGGCCTCAGGACACTTTATGACTCAATACAGATCAAGCTAGGAAATGCCCCCAAAGAAACATAAATCCAAAATGCATCAGTGGGACTCCAAACGGGAGAAAAAGGTTTGGAGATCTTAAAAAACGGGGGAAAAAGAAAAAGATATAACGAGCAGAGGGAGATAGCCCGGTGAACTGATACTACCAAGCAAAGCATCTGCATTGCGCTCATCAGCTAATTTGTGCATGGTACTTGAATATATTGTTCTGGCAGAAGAGATGCCAAGAACATTGCCAACATTCTAAGCGTGCTTGGTAAAAGTAATAGACACAAACATGTATCCAAATATGTAATAGAAATATGCCATGGAAACGAAGTATCTAAAAACATTAAACCAAATGCAATGAGAAATCCAAAGAGAACTTGGCTTGACAGTTCATTCAAACTTGCAGTAAAATTTTCAAAATTAATAAAGGTAGAAAAGCACTGAATATTACACAAGTAATCGCTTCTCTTTAAATTAAGTTTTTTTTATTCAGTTATCTTTCTTAAAAATTTAATTTAGGAAGCTTGCTACAAAGTACACAGTCCAAATGGGTCATCTCAGGGTGAATTATTAAAGACTGTCTTACCCTCCAGAAAGAAATAGCTGATGTCATCACCAGTTTTGCCTTGAGTAATAGTTAATTTTAAGCTCATTGACTGATAATTGACCAGAGTGAAAGAATAAACCCAAAGGCAATGCAAAAATACGTTAAGATAGCTAAAGCCAAATCTAGACCAAATGAAAATGGATACAAGTTGATAAGAAACACTTTTCCCCAAAGAAAGGCTAAGTCCATTGGCAAGCGGTGTGCACACATATCCGTTTTACATGCAGCAATCTGTCCTAACCGACCCCTCTGAAACACCTTTGCCCAGATTGTGCAACTCCATGTCCACGTGATGTCGATGTGACAGAATGCATTGGATCCGTCTGCAGTTTTCCTGGTGAGTGGTGCTGTGTGTGCCTCTGCGTGGATGATGATTCTAGAGTGCCTTGCAGTGAAACAGCATCTAAAGCTGCTTTGCAAAAAGTGCAGGCTGGGTTGGGTACTTGACCTGGCCACGCTTGTGTCTTCCTACAAATCAACACTGGCACTAACATCTACACTGCTTCATTAGATGTCATTCCTAAGGGAGCGTTTTCAAACTGCTAGACCAGACGAGCCCCTCGTTCAGTGACTCGCTCTTGTACTTCCAGAGCAAACACGGGGTTTTCCCTCTCAAGCTTTATTGAGAAGTTGCTACAAATAATATTGCTTTTGAAGGTGATAAAATGTGATGGTCTGATGCAGGTTTAAATTGTGATAGATTACTGCCATCAAATTAATGAACACATCAGTAACCTCTCATGATTAGCATTTCCATTTATTGTGATGAAAACACTTAAGATTTACTCTTCCAGCAAATTTCAACTATTCAACATTTTATAATTGTCACCTATAGTCTTTATCCAACTTCTATCACAAAGTCATTCAGGTTGAGTAATTTATAAACAAGAGAAATGTATTCATTGTGGTTATGGATGTCCAACTATACAAAAGTCAGGGTGCCAGCAGGTTTGATGTCTTGCTATAACCATCACTGGCGAGGTGCCATCTCAGAGCAAGAGGGTGAGGAACAGTCAAGCGTCCCAGCAAGCCTTCTCCAGTTCTTTCCGCAGGAAATGATCCCTTGACGCAGGAGAAGCTCTGATGGTCTCAACACCTTCTACAAAGCCCCGGCTCTTAAAAGTATTGTGCTGGGAATTCAGTTTCAGCACACACCTTGAAGGCGACACATACCTTCAAGGCAAGAGCACTTGTTTTGTCGATCACCTTGAAAGTCTTAATTTATTCGAACAGCCACTTCAAAGTCTTATTGAATTTGTTTAAAATAATTTCTGTATCTGCTATACCCTTGAGAAATGCTAATTTTTTCTATTTGCTATTTCTTGAAAGCTTTACCAATGGAGTGTTAAATCTGTGATTCTGAAGTGAAATAAAAATATGCCATTGCAAATTTTTTTTTTTTTAAATACAGGAAGGAAGGAGGATGGCGGGTGGGGAACATGGGCAGGAGGGGATGCAGGATGGAAAGACCCACTAAGGTCCTAGGTCAGCATTGCTCACTCTGTGTAAGTAAAGGAAAGAAAAGGAGAGGA